TACTTTGAATGACTTTTTCTTTTTTTACCAGCTCATATATTTTTAACAGTATGTTCACTATCAGATAGCAGACCTACAGTATATGACCTTACAGATTGTTTGCCCCTCATCCTCATGTATCTTTTTAGCCCTGTGCTGCTGCTAATACTATATAAACTTTAAAATTCTAGAAATATTTTTATGTAAATGTAAGCATTCCCATTTATTAATGCTACATATACAATATGGAAAAAACAGCTTGGCTTATTCATCTATCGCCCTTGTTTCCCTCATCTTTTCATGCCAATTTCCTCATCCCTCCTCCAACACCTTTCCCCTTCTCTCATGACACAAACTATATTGTAAAGTAAAGGACTTTATGAGATTATGTTTGAAAATAGCTATGCTTATATACTACAGTGACTGAATGTACAGTGTATAGATGCATTACCAGAAATAAAGTTGTTTGTCCAGATTGAATGACTCTGTTTCCTGTTTGTTAAAGCTACAATATCTAGTAATTTTCAATTTTTTTTTTTAGTAGAAACATTCCCTAAAACTTGTCTTAACTGGGAGAGCTGCTGTCAAGGGCTCCTGTGACCCAAGCTCATCCAACAGCCTGGCAGCAGTGCAGAGTTGTCCCCTTCTAAAAGTTTTTGAGCGGGATAACTCTCTAACCAATCAGAAAAGGCCACTGTCAGGGTTGGGAGCTCATGGCTGTCCATCAATACATGGATACGCTTATGGCTGACTGGCAGGCTAGCAAGCAATTCCAGTGTTAGCTGAGACACCTACACCAAAAAGAAGGTTAAGTAAATGAGTTTTGAGGAGAAGGAAGAAAAGAAACCAACACAGTTGGATTTAGATCATAAAGTTATATGGGCACGTCTTTCACCAGAGCGATTTACAAACAGATTTGGCATTATTGCTGCTGTTGTGAATTTATTGTTTATAGTAGTACAATAAGGATGCAAACCATTACCCTTTGTGCTTGTAGCTAAATCATGCCAGAACATTTCATTTGCACTCTTGGTGTGACTGTAACAGTAGCTGGCTGAGCTAAGGACATCACTGTGTTGCTACTTTTAGTTATAATTGCGCCCATGTTGGGCGCCAGTTGGGGAATTGGATGAACGATGGATCTATCTACCATCAGCAAAAAGCTTTGGCTTTAGTTGTGACGATGATGATGATGATGATGATGATGAGGAGACCAGTTGCACCAAAGAAGAAGAAGGTGTGGTCCGCCAAAATCAGCTTCTCCTCCATTTTTTCTGTGGTCTGTCGGGTTCTCTGCAATTGGACACGTGGAGGTGTGGCCACAGAGCTCTGAACCCAATTCAACTTTTTTAACTTCAGCACAGAGGGCAGGGATGGCACACACTCTGTACTCAGCTCGGCTCAGCGCAGATACGTTGTTGCGCAAGCGCAGCACACAGAAATGTATTTGTTTGATAGTGGAGCGCAGTGCCCACCGCGTCCTATCTGAAAACAACACTGGCCTCAGTGTGCAGCGACTGTGAGAGGAGTGCGCAGGGACCGTCTACAAAGTGCAACAGTGAAAAGAAACAGGCCTTCTACAAAAATATACACTTAGTGTTACCAAAACTACATATACTACAACCCTTAGTTATGAAAAATATGTTTTTTCACAAAATTTTTACCATAGTGTCACCACAATCACTTCATGCAATAATGACCATCTACTGATTGTACTACAACACTTAGTTTGGCAAGAATATGCTTTGCTATTGGTGAATTTTTAAGGGGGCGGGGGGGTGGGGGTGTCCCTGGGTGTCCCTACCAATGTTGACACCAAATTTATGCCCTTGCCATATGTGACAGAGTGGAAAAGTTTGTTTTTTTTTCCGCGATGCTACTTTTTCAGACCACACTCATTCTTTCTCAGCCAGTGTTCACAAACTGTGCTGGTTGTAAATGTGTGTCCGCCTGTCCTGTAGTGGAAGTTGCCATACAGCTGGGCTTTGTTTAGAGTGGACATGAAGCAGGGCAGTCAACTCAGGGAGATACATTATTTTAGCGCCCACCAGTTAAATGCTGTTACTGACTTTGTGAATTTCTCTCCAAGCTTTGACACTGTGTGACCAGTTCCATGTTCATGAAGGGTCGGGTGGAGCGAGCAGGGAGAGGGAGGACTGGGCAAGGTGGAGGCAGTTAATTCTAGAGTCTCATGCTTGTGCTAGCTAGATTTTCAAATGTTACACATTTAAACAATATAAATCCAAATTATCCTGCACACAGACTGTTTTTGAATTCAGGTCAGTCAATAAAATATCAGTCAATTCAACTTTTCCAACTAGGGGACCTTGTCCTGCTGTAAGACTTTTTTAAGCACTGTGAATAAATAAAAGAACACACATTTCCACCAGTTGTACTAAAGCTACCATTCAGCTTTGTGAAATGTTTTGAACTGACTTTGACCACAGACAAAAGGTCCGGGGGAATCAAACAAAGCAGGGTGGTTTCAGTGTACTGCACAGGCCACTTTTTAGGGTACCAAAACAATACTAAACATTCTTCTAGTTTCACCCTCTCATTTGCTTTATGTACACAGATTTGGTTTTAGGACAGCTGCTGGAGAAACTGCCATAATTACTGCAAAAACAGTAAAAAGGAAAAGATGGACTGCAAACACTTAACTAGACAGGAATGTACTCCAGGTCACAGATTCACGCCCACTCTGCCTGACAACATCAGATGTAAACATTCATTACTGTGTACACACACTCACACACACACAGAGCACTGTTACATAGCCCTCTGTGCACAGAGGGCTATGTAACAAGCAATGGGCTCCTCAGCCTGAGAAGCTGCTTTTGTCTATATGTCAGTCACCGGCTCATTCAAAACAAGGTGAACAGTCTACAGTGAGGCTCTGATGAAGGTTAAAATGTTAACATGGTATAATAATAACAATAATAATAATAAGAAGAAGAAGGCATGGGAACCATGATGATATTTCAAAAGTAATCACAGGTCAACTTGACCTTTTTTGTCAGGTCAACTATATGAATTCTACTGTAACTTACAGACATTAGTTGTAGCTGTTAGCTGGTACTGCTGTGTACATGGTCATCATCATCCTAAATCCGTGTGCTATTGTTGAGTGGGGAATGTTATTGTTGTTGATAATTTAACATATTCATTTAAAAAGTTTCTAATAAAGGTATTTTTACTTTGACTCAAAAAAACCCCCACCATAAAATAAAGTGCATAAGCAAATCAAGCAAAGCCACATTAGATAGATCTGCATAGCCACACCTAGGTCCACAGCTCAGCCAGTGACAGGGCTTCAAACACACTGTCAAATCTGAATGAATGGACAGTATTCAATAACAAAATAAAAAATAATAACACTTTTTTTTTTAAATAAACCACTTGCCATGCAGCAGCATTTATAAAACTGCTCGGCGCAGATGAACAACTGCCTGTCAAGCTAGCCATTTTTAGTTCACCTCAGGTCTAAAGAACAACCAAAGCAAATTAATTTTGTCGCATGATAACATCATGCGCCCTATTCTGATATCCCATAATGCCTTGCATCCAGGCAGATTATACCCAATCAAAGACAGGTGTCCTTGGAGTTCAGTCTTAACACATTCATTTTCAGGTGTTACAGTGTATATTTAAAAACTGAATCTCTGTTTTATTGTACTAATGTCCACATCAAATTGTTAGGTATTTTTAGTCAGATAGATATTGGATAGATACTTTATGTATTAGAAATGTTTAGTGGAGATAGGATGTCTAGTTAGACTGTTAAATGCTTAGGCATGCTTATGAGTTTCTACAGGGTACATCTGGTCAAGGATACTAGAGAGAAGAGTTGATGACTGTCAGCAGACAGGGTGTTTAATATTATTATTATGACGTGTATAACTGTAGCCTTAGCCATAATATGTTCTTATGTTTAAGACACGAAATGTTACTAGAAGTCTGTGAGAATGTTTTTAGCTACACACCACTCACTCAACAGACACACACACACACACATTGATTTGCTTCATGTTTTGACTACTGCTATGGCCAGCTGCAAAGCTGGTAACAGAGACGTCTCGGTTGACGTTTCTGGGTAGTATGGGGCTAGGCCAACCGAGGGGATATAATGTATAGGCCTGGTGGGCTCAGGGTCTTCCATCTTACATCTGCCTGCGTGCAGTTTGGAGGTGCAAGATACCTGAGCATGTAATGTTAATTTTACCTGTGATCCTTTGAATAAATCAGCACTGTTTTGAAGTTACTTGGACTGCCTTGTCTCTCAGAGTTAGCAATGGTAAGAAGAACCAAAGTCCTTCAGACTGAGCTCACTTGGATTATGAATAAACTTTTTATGCTGTAAACACCATGGTCGTTGAGCCATATCCAAGCCTGATATCCTCACTTGGCCTTCAAACCAGAACCTTTCAAATGGGTGTGTTTTTTGGGATTGGAACCTTTCGAATGGGGAAGAGAACAACTTTGTATAGTATTAAGTCATTATTTGCAAAGCTGTGCACTGAGCTGCTTGTCATATAGTAAGTAGTCTACAGAAGATTAGGGCCACTGTAAAACTATATTTAAGCTCTGACTTTTTCTCAGAATTCTGACTCAGAAGGAAATCATTTTCTACATAGATAGTAATATCCCAAGCTCTCAAAATGCCTATAGTTTGTGTCATTCATGGTTGATCAAATCAATCACACTGGTGGGGGGGACTGCAAGAAATTGCCCAAAAACACTAGCATTGTGTCAAGGTGAGATGTTTCCCCCCAGCTCCCCCATCAGTGGTCAGGGCTAAGATAAAGTTAGACTCAGGTTAAGTTACTAACATCTCAACAAGGGAACATGCTTTGGCACAACACCAGCAAAAATAACTTGTAAGCCTTTGTCTGGGGCTGGGAGGAACGGAGTGGGCTAAAGCTCTAGTGTG